CAGGCGAATAAACATATTGTCCCAGCGATCGAGTCTTCTTCTTCTCAAGAGTAATGATCTATCTACTAGTGATAAATGGAAACTGCTTACCTAGATATTAAAGTTTCTAACTGCCCTTACGCCGAAGAATCACGCAATTACTCCTGCTAAACAATGACATGGAACAGGCTCTTTTCCGAGTCGTTCCTCCCTATAGCAATTTAAACGTTCATATTTCCATGGTACTGTTAGTGGGTGATTTAGATGATTTGTCTGACTCAGTTGTGAAAACTCGGTGGCCTTGATGTAACTAAACGCACAGTGATTAAGACTAGTTGTGCCCTTATCTGTGACTGTCGCCAAAGATGGGTACAAGTGGGAATGCAAAACGTAAAACTGATAAACTTCGTGCTTAATGATCATATCTTCTTCCTTCTCTTCTTCCTCTTCTTCTTTTCTTCTTACTGTAAATCATCTACCCATTTTTGACGGTGATTAGAGCGTTGGTCTTGCACTTGCTGATGTGAGTCTGAGCTACGCCAAAGCCATCAGGTTCTTCACAAATGAATCGAATTAAAAAAGACCTGCTCGTTATACTTGTTTTGAAAAAAAGTATAGGTTCTCTTCTACGAGGTCAGACAGCTCCAGGTCCCTTTATATATATTTACTATTTCTACGGAAAGGTTCTGTTGATTGTAGTGTTTTTACGTAAGGTTTCTTCAGTCTTGCTATCGCAACCGAACACTTTTATTCATAACTTTTGGAAAAATTGTTTTGTAAGGCCGCCTAAATATCTATTCCCCCGCCCAACTGTCTTTGGGCATTGGTGATTAGACATTTAATGCTTGGATAACGAGTGTGAATGAATATTGAATTGTGTCGAAACCCATCAAAGAATATTAAATTAAAGCCACATATAGTTGTTTAAGTGAGCTAAATAGAATCAACTCCATCAACATAAACCCCTGTTGTTCAGGCAGCTGATGTCTATTGATGGGAATTCCACCTTATATTGGCAGAATTTAACCACAAAAGGGCAAGTCGGGCTATTTCAAATGTAAACGTAGGTTATTGTTACCAGTCAAAGGCAAATAGGGCCTCTAACGACAGTCCTACCAAACTTTTATGGTAATGAAATATATTTACACAGTCACGTAGCGACTTTTTTGAAACCATGAACGTTAAGCAACACAAAAGTAATATTAATCTATGTAGTCAGCTAGCTACGTAAGTAAAATCACGCGTTTTACATGCAGGTCATAAATAAGAACACAGAAAAAGAAGACAGATTAACTCAGAAAGGGCCTTGGCTAGGATTAGGCCGCTTGAGACACGAGAAGATACCCACGAAACGAAAACTTTTTATTTAATTTGAAAAATAATTCAAGATAGCATTTTGCGAAAATTCCCATTGAAAATTTCAGAAGATGAATTGGCGACCATACGTTTGTTTTCGATAAATTCTCGTCAAGCCTTTGCATTTATATGGTAATTAAGTAAACAAACTATGCGAGTTAATAAAAAAAAATAGTACGGTTGGGGGGGGATCGGGGTCAAAATCTGATCAACGTTAGGGGGGACTGGTAGTCGGCCGAGGTGATAAGCTACTGGCTGTTGGATTAGCGGTTTTAGCCCTTGGGAACTGCGGCGCCGCGACGAAGTTCCTTTGTGCACACGGGACCAGTCGGCGTAGCATGATGGCGGCCGCTTTTGCCGTAGCCAACTGACGCTGTCCAAGAAAGTTTGAATAGCTTGAACCTACCTTGTAGATCACTCGGAAGACCTCCTTGGCATCCACGCGATAGTCTGAGTCTACCAGGTGAGCTAGAATAGAACTAGTATTTAAAAAAATTAATCCTCTTCAAAGTACGGTCCGGTAAATGATATGCATTGTCCTAACGGATATTTTATTATTCGAAACATTATTTATATCCTTATTAACTACTGCTGGCAAGTGCCTCCAGCAAGTGCTTTTTAAGTTCTCCTCCGTTCTGAAACCGCACTCCCATTAGAATTTTCTTCATTCATTCGGGAATAAAACGAAGTCACAGTGGGTTTAGGTGGAAGACCAAGGAGAGCGATGAGATTCCCTTTTGGGACCTTTTTCTACTAAAAATTGATTTTATTATGAACGCGGTGTGGGCAAGCGCGCTGTGATGACGAAGCAGGCAGTTCCGCTCAATCGCCACGGTTCAGGTCGCTCCTTCCTCAATGTCTCACACACAATTGCTTCAGCACTTGCAGATGTTAATGCTGGTTCACTGTGGTGCCAGGAGGAATCAGTTCAATCTGAACGACTCTTTTCATTTCAAGAAAATTGCAAAATCACCGAGAGCGCTGGGAGGGGCTTGATAAACAATCACTCGGCCTGCTGCGATGGTTTCGCGCAAACGATATCTGGCAAGCTGATCATCAAGGGTGTCTGGACAGGCTGGCACTGCCGACCCGCTGCCGGCAGCAGATAATTCTCGTTTTCTTGGCTACTCCTTCGTCATATAACGTGACTCCGAATGTTGGTGGATCACTGAGGATTGCAATTCCTTTGTATACCTTGATGATAACAAGGTGAACAGTATTACAGTTATTATGTGAAGATGGAGTTCGCTGATCCAGACTGACTACCAAAAAGAGGAGTTGCTTTTAAGGTTTGCTGTGGAATCCCCAGCTTGAACCAAAGCTGATGGTGGTATAGTGAAGAGTGATCAACACCAAGGGGGGTGTAATAATAGTCGAGGGAGACGGGAACTTTCCTTCCTGACTTAGTTACTGTCCGCAACTCCGACCTGGTTGTCGATTGCTATGTAACCAAACTGAGCCAATGACGTGAAGATCTGTCGATTGCCTTCGCGAAAATCAAAAGTCTAATCTGTTCTGACTGCGTACCGGAAATTACCACACATTTCTCGGCGTAAGTTCTCGATGTACTCTGTTATGTGACTTATGAAGAGAGTCTAAGGTCCAATTCGTAGATATCCAAAAATTATCCGAAACCGATCACTTACCCTATTATGCGTTAGACAGTTGGCCTTTGTCTGGACAGGCATTTATTAATTGGCGTTCACAGTAAGACCCTCCGAAAACAGAAAGGCTGGATTGCAGAGATTCATCAAGCCCCAGCCAGGGTAAACAATAAAAATATCTGGGTGCACATCCTTTGAAGATAAGGCCAAGACGAGCCTGACGGCCAAATCTACGCGCGCGAGGAATCCCGCTGAGCAAACACAGCCGAGCACAGACTGTCGCCAGCAGCTGGACTTTCCCACGACACTCCAAGTGAGGTTTTTGCGTTCGCGCGTACTCGCGCTCTCCTTGCACTGGAAGTTATCCTCCTCCTCCTTCTATTCCTCCAAACCGACCAAAAGCTTCTTTCCGCGACACCGACTGGATAAGCGTAAGCACTGCCTGCCAAACTGTCTGGCACCGCAAAACTGTTTGACTTCTTTTCGTCATTAAAACGGACTTGGCAGACATGGAGGCCTATAAAGCAACAAAAGAAGTTTGGCTGTCCAAGTAGTGCAACCCGGTCAGACCCTGCCGTCCAGCGCCACCCCCGTGCTGAGTTCTTAAACCTAGTCACGCGTACGTAGTCATATCCAGTGAAAAGAAACGAATCGGATAAGTAATCCACTAAACAGTCTTTGCCTTGTGGTTTTGTGCCGCCTGAGCAACCGACCACAGCAACCCTCCTTGCCACAAAGCTTACCGATCAACACCAGAGCCGGCAGCTTAGCCTGGGCCATCAATTCCGACAGTGCTGTTTCAGAAGTAGAAAATGCGATCGCTGGAACAAGAATTTTATTTGCCTGACGTTTCGGATTCTGTCGAGAATCCATCCAACACGGGCAACGGAATCGTGGCAATTAATGACTCGAAAGCCAACTGCCAAGCCATCACCGCACCAATTACGACCCCCAGCGGCGGTTACAGGAACTGATAATTATGGTGCGCATGCGGTGGCGTGGCCACTACGAACCATAAATACTGCGTAATCTGTGCATGCATCATCCCGATCTATGCACGTCTCTCACTATTCTACGGTTACTTATGATTAAGGATTCTAGACAGGCCAATAAAATTCTTGTTCCAGCGATTGCATCTCCCACTTCTGAACTGCTTCTTGGAACTCGCATATTCGTTCCCATCGGCAGTGCTATTCCCTTTGACATACACACAGGTGCGTGACATGCTTTTGAGGCATTAAGCTACATTAGCCGCTGAAGTCGTTCCGACATAGAGGTCAGAGAGGGAGGACAGTGTGTGAGGCTGATCCAACGCTGACCAACTATCGTGATGAGCTAAATGTCATAGTTTCGGAAGAAGGTGCAGCTCTATGTTTTCCTTAGATCATGCTGTAGTGGCTCCGTCACAGTGGGAGCACTCTAAGGCCCGGGTCGTGTCAAAGGAACGAGGAGGGAGGAGAGAAGAGTCCGCATAGAGTAGGCCCAGCCGGTTAAGTTTTTACCTTTCCAGTCATTGCCTCCACGCCTATCTCTCTGGTCCTCACAACTTTTCTTTCTTGCTATTGGAACAAGATGGGTGTAGGAGGGGGGGGGACGGAGGAAGTGCGACAGATACCGTGTACGTCTCCATTAGGATGATCAGACGTGCGTGAACGTCACAACTGTGGTGTTAATCCGAGAGCATTAACGTTTCCGCCGCTGGCCACGGGTGAACCGTCCAAGTGACTACTTCCACAACATCGGAAGACTAGGTGAAGCACGAAGGACTTCTAACTATTTGTTGAGGGATTTCCGTCCCCCTCGTTCACTGACGACAGCGGCTCCACGCATTATACCGTGAAATTATAAAAGACTTTGGTGAGAGGGGGACCTGGGGGAGGGAGGAGGAACAGAGTTCAAAACGCACCTAGAGAGGGCGCTGGAATGCATGAAACGTTCACAGACATCGGTGCATCGATACATGTTAGCCGTTGACAACTGGTATGAACATGTTTCCAACCACTTGTGTAGATAATGGAAAGGAAGGAGCAATTTTTAAAGTTGCATTTTTTCGCCGCTGGTTCATGTTCCCTCATGTTCACAAGAAAGAATACAGAAATATGTATTTCATACGCATACTCTGTGGGAAATAACGCTTTC